TCCCGGAGCTCACGGGAGCCCCCCGGGATGCCAGCAGGGATGTCCCGGTCCGGGAGCTCCCGGGGCTGGCCGGCCATGGCGCGGGAGGACAGGGATGGGGACGTGGCCTTTGTTTCCCCTCCCGGCTTTGTTTCCCCGATGGCCCCATTGAGGAAGCCCCATGTGGCCAAAAAGCCCCGGACCCACCCCAAACCAGGCCTGTTAATTTGATTAAATGGCTCCTTCCTCCTTCTCACCCCTGGAGCAGATTAAGCTCTCACCAGGGCAGCGTTTTCCTGCAGCTCCATTCTGCGGACAAATTCCTAAATCACCTGATAATTTACAGGCTTAAAGCGCCGATTTGAGCCCGGGGTTTGCAGGACCAGCGCCGTGGGGTGCACGAGCTGCAAATGGGGGGTGCACACATGAATTATTTTCGTATCTCGATTTATTTAGCCAATATTTCAGGGCCGGGAAGAGAGCAGATGGTGAAACGGGTGCCCAGCGCTTGGGAAAAGCTGCACCTCTGGAAAGTGCCTTGAAAAAAAAAAAAATCACCCCCAGCTCCTTGGGCTCCTCAGAACCTCTGGTGTCCTAAAAAGCACCCAGGGGGGATATGGGGGACCAGAGGGTGGCCCTTGAGTGGCACACATCTTATCCTGCCCTGCCCTGCGTCCTGGCACTGCCACCGAGCCCCGCAAAGCCGCGCTTGGGATTTGGGCGCCTAATTCCTGCTAATTTCCCTGGGAAAGGGGAAACCCGAGCCTCTGAGTCAGCTCAGGTTGTCGGGTGATTAGAAGGGCCACCTGGCTAATTACGAGGGTGTGTTTGTCACCTGCAGAGCCTCTGGAGCAGCCGTTAATGGGGCGTGGTGGGGACAGGACGGCGGAGCTGGGGCTTCAGGGGAGAATTTGGTGGCGGTGGGAGGAGGAGAAGGATTTGGAGGTGCTCCCCCTGGCCTGGGCTCCGGGGTGCTTGGGGCTGCAATAAGCACAGCCCCCGCACCGGGAAATGCACATAAATAACTCCCTGTACCCTGGTGATCCCGAGGCAGCACAGGCTGATCCATGGCGGCCGCAGGGCGAGCAGGATCAGCCGGTGGGGCTGGAAAGCGGCTCAGGCTCAGCCACCCCTCACCTGCACGTCCTGACCTGTGGGGACACGTCCCTGCCCGTCACCCCTACTCGGTGCCAGCAGGGTCTGGTTTAGTGCCACTCCTGCCCCGCGGGATGGAGAGGGTGCTGCTGGTGGCATGGCGATGGGCAAGGGGTCGTTTGTGGGGTGCTCCGGCTTGGGCACTCTATGCCGGAGCATCCCATGAGTTTTGGGGAGCTGCTCGGGCCCCTGGCGGGTCCAACACCGGCTGTGCCACCTCCCGGGCCTGGGGTGGCTGCTGGCTGTGGCAGGGAGCGGGATGCTCCGGGGCTGCAGCCATGGCTGCGCGGCTGCACAATGGCCTTTTGTCTGCGGGGCTGCCCCGGGAACATCCCGCCATCCCAGTTTCCCAGTAACATGAAACCTCCTCGGGGCTGCCTGCCGGGAGCACAAAGCCTGGGGCTGCTGCGGGGGGCAGCCCTGGCCCCGCTCCCGCACATGGGCTCAGGTGGGTGCGGGGAGGCTGCGGGGTCCCGCCTGGCAGAAGGAGGTGGCAGCAATCAGGGAAGAGGCAGGAATGGAGCCCGGTGCCGTCCCCCTGGGCAAAGATGAGGCTGAGCCACGCTGGGGGTGCTGGCAACTTCCTCAGCCCCGGTGTTCCCCACGCGGGGAATGTGCCAGGGGTGAGAAAATCCCTGCGGGCGCTGCCGGGAGCCCCTTCCCCTCTGCTGGGGCCTGGGGGTGCCGATGGTGGGGGAGGAGGGAGGGAGGGACAGGCCGGGAGGAGCCGCTGTAAATCATTAACGGAGGAGGGGAATGCGAGGGGTCATTAATCGAGGGCTCTCTGGCGGGCTCGCAGTGGGGTCTGGCCGCCTGGTATTTTTTTTTTTAATCAAGGTATTTTATTGCACATCAGATCTGACCAGGGCAGCGGAGGAGGTGGTGACTGCCGGCAGCATCCGAGGAGGGGTGGGGGGATGCACAGCGAGGCGCTTGCAGGGGGCTGGTTTGTCCTGCTTTTCCCAGCCTTTCCTAGCTCCTCCATGCCCTGGAATCTCGCAGTATAATAGGGAAGGACCCCCCCACTCCCTGGCCAGCTCTGAGCCCGCTGTGGCAAAGGGGACGCACCAGGGGCTCCAAAAAAACACTTTTCCCGGCCAAATTCCTTGACACTTTCCCGTTTACTCAGCTCCGGTTGGAAAAGCATCGAGGGCCGGGGGAGGACTTCCCTGCTCCCGGTGACTCAGGTGCCGGTCACCGGCGTGACTCAGCCGCTGGCACCGTCCCGGAGCCTCCGGGGGCACGGGGGGCCGCGGTGACACAGAGGCGGGGGAAGGGAACGGGGGGCGATGCCGGAGGTGACGGGACGGGGAACGGG